AACTAGTGGCTACTCCATATTCAATGTGTGAATATGAAATTGTAGTGTAAACGTGGCCTATTGAACTCACAAGTAGCGTCAACGTTTAATAAATTACTGTTACAAATGCGTAAACGATGTCAGTGTAAATTACACACGTGCAACAGTTCGTAAACGTCACAATAATTCGGCTGAAGCCCCACATGTAAAGGGTACACACAGGTACCAACATAAATGTCAGTTAAACAGGTGAAAATGTTGTCATATTGCTGCGTTAGTCAATCCTTGTTTTACTGTTGCACACGTACAGACATTGTACACACTACGTATGTACATCCTGTTAGCCAAGTATGAGCATCACTGTAACTTAATGGAATGTATAGGACAGTAGCATTCAAAACACATGCATATGTGTGGGGTGTGTGTGTGTAGTGTGTGTGTGTGTGGTGTGTGGTGTGTGGTGGTTGTGGTGCTGTGTGGGGTGTTGCTATCCCCGGGCGTAGAGGGACAGTCACGTGATACTGTTGGACGTATACTTCAAAGTCCAAATCTTCCACAGAAAGATTCCACAGTCATACTTCCGTACTAGACATGGCCTTATATCTCTAACCCTACCCCTAACCCTAACCCTGATCTACCCTAATCCTAACACTAGTGCTGCCACATTGCGGTACTGTCCCTCCACGCCCGGGGGATAGCATTTCCCGTGTGTGTGTGTGTGTGGTGTGGGTGCGTGCGTGCGTGCGTGCGCGCCTGACTGCCTGTGTGTACGTACGCGCGTGTGTATATTTTGTGGTAATGTTTATATATCTGTAGGGTAGTTGTATGAGTATGGCCCGGTGTCATATTTCCGGCCACTATGGAGATCTGAAGGCCATGTGTTGACCTTCAAATATTATCAACCAACACTTCTTAAATGTTATTGCTTTATTAATGGGACAAAGGTGCATAATAGTGTAACATATATACGGCAGATTCACTAGAGCATCTGAGGCAACTTCTACTGGCCGATTACGCTGGCAGTTTTCTCGTTTGCTCTAGTTGCGTGAGAAGATTTAACCGGTATATCCATGTCTTGCGCAAACACATCCTCTTGTGACTTTCTTCTTCATTTGTCTGCGCCCACAATATCACGCATATTTTTTAATAGTTGCCACGTTTCTTCTAAACGGACGGACGAGTGATCTGTGAGAAAGCACTGGACTTCACAGGGCCAAGCCTCGTCCATTAAATGCGAGACCCGCATTACGTTAACGTAGACCGTGAGTAGGATTCGGGTGCGTAAAACACCTGCAGGAAGTCCTCCTTATTACCGGACTACACGACAATCAACCGCACGACTGTGAGTTATCCGGTTAGCTGAGCGCTTGAGCTCATTCAACCACGTCCGGGACCTGTTTACAAAGAGAACTCCGGCAGCAGCCACTATATAAGCGCACATCTAGGGGTGCGTCTAACTTAGTCGCATTGTGCAGTAGCACATTCAAGGCGCAAACGCAGTAGGAACTTTACTGAACAGACGGTAGCGGTTGGGAAGATCGCCGGACGAAGTCAGACTGCAGTTTAACAAGTAACGGCCGCACGAGCAGTGAGAGTAAATATAGCCGTAAAGATATACATATATATTAAGCATCATGCCGTGGTCCGCGGGCATGGCGATGGGGCGCGCTCGTGGCGTTGCTCGCACACGTTAGCGCCGAGGAGAACGATTACAACCGGCACCTCCATGTGCCAGCCCTCATCAACCGACCCTAGGAAGGAGGTCTTATGGTGAGTCAGCGCGTTTGTCGTTGTACACTATTTTTCACCTGGCAGTGCACAAGTTAGTCAGCCCACTAGCTGCCACATTTGTCTTGGTTAGCCTGTGTTATATTAAATTGGTCAATGCACCAAGCCGGAAAAGTTAGATTTGCGAGAAGATAATATATATATATATGATTAGAGAGAGAGAGCATGACGAGAGCAGAGAGAGAGGGGGGGGGGAAGAGGAGAGAGAGACGAGAGAGCGAGAGAGAGAGAGTGTGTGTGAGAGAGAGAGAGAGAGAGTGTGTAAAAACACACGGATACCCATGCAGACATAGATAAATATAAAAGTGTCGATTTTTTAAACAAAAGAAGCCTGTATATCTATTTGATTTCGGTTTAGTGCAGTATTTAATTTGAACGATGCTAAATTAGCATGATTAGATTTAATCTTGTTCCAGTGTTGACTTCGCAAATCATTTGCGCGCGACTGAAACAGTCAGAACTGTAGGTCTGAAGCAGGGTGGCCTTTTATCATATCCTGTTCGCATTCTTTATCAATGAATTGTCTACTAGGCTCGTAACAAATGCAAATGGATTGTACATTGGAAGAAATAGCTTTTCGGGGATGTTATACGCGGAATGATGATGGTTCTGCGAGAGAGAATAGGAGTAACAATGGAAAGTTATTTTGCAGCATTGCGAGAACTTGGCAGACAATTTTGCGAATAGTTTTTGGAGAAAAGAATATTCCAATTCATGATTTCATAAGCCCGGATTAGGTAGGAGCCCAACAGGGTGTCTGGTAACTGGTGCAATGAATTTGCAGTCATACGTATCTGAATACACTTTTACCTGGTGGTAATCTTAGTGACAATTATCTCGAAAAATTGCTTACAAAAGCATGAGGATGATATACGGAAAAAAAGGCAAGAACAATACAGGATGAGCAAGTAGCTTCAAAGGCATTCTATAGTTTCAATAGATATTGGGCGGGTATGGAGCCGTTTGGAAAGCATGTTGCAGTGCCTGCACTGGAGCGTATACAAAATGATAAGCCATAGTATTGAGAGGTTAAAAAAGGAGGAACGTCCACGCCTCCAGGACACTAGACAGACTTCAAAACCAGCTCGGATAGAGAGTACTAGACGAAGGAGTTAACGGGGGGTATTAAAGAAATGGAATTTAGAGTGAGGAAAGAGCAATTAACACAGCCATGGTACTACCGTCTGGGAAAAAGGGATAGAAAAACGTTTGATAGGATTGTATAAAGAAAAGACGCTGGTAAGAGTCTTTTATGATCAATAGTCTTGAGGAGGGAGCCTGCTCTATCCAATGCAGCCGCGGGTGCCTTGCATTGAATAACGTAATAGGACACTGGGAGGTAAAAGCATAAAATGCTTTAATTTGTGGGAAAGAGAGAGTTTGGAGACCCCTGGAGCACTTTGATACGTAGAAATGGTCCATAGATATGAAAACCATATGAAAAAGTTTTTTTATTTATGAGTTAAACGTAGAACGTAGGATTAGGCGGAGTTAACAGAAACCTCACATGACATAGCAAGGTGGAAGCTCTTGAAAACACTGTGGTTTAGGTGTTGGCAGCAAGCCGTATTATGTATAGTTCAAGCTTATAAACAGTACTGGCAGATACGGTTGGGGAGCTAGATCAGTGCACTTACAAATTCTATAGGGGATACGAAATAAATCTTGCTCTTTTTCTTTTTTTTCTTTTTTGTGGTGACATGGAAAATTAACTGATTCTAAAGGTATGCGCCAGTATACTACAAATACATAATACATACATACATACATACCATAATACATACATACATACATACATACATACATACATACATACCATAATACAATACTAGCATAATACATACTTACATACTACATAATACATAACATACATACATAATACATACATACATACATACCATACATACATACTACAGACATACATACATACATCATACCATATCATAATTCGTTACGTACGTACGTACGTAGTACGTACTACGTACCTACGTACGTACGTACATACAATAACATACATACATACATACATACATACATAACTATCATACATACATACATACATAACTACATACATTAATACTTACATACATACATACATACATAACATATACATACATATCATACAGTACATACATACATCGTCATACATTACATACATACTACATACATAGCAGAATACTAAATACATACATACATACAGTACACTACATACATACATACAACATACATCGTACATACATATCATACATACATAATACATACATACATACATACATACATAACATACATACATACATACATACATACATAATACATACACTATACATACATAACGTACATAAATACATACATAACATACATACATACATAATACATACATACATACATAACATACATACATACATGACATACATACATACATACATAAACCATACATACATACATAATACATACATACATAATACATACATACATACATACATACATACATACATATACATACTTACATACATACATACATACAGTAATAAACATACATACATACATACATACATACATACAATACATACAATACATACATCATACATACATACATAATACATAATACTACATAATACTACATACATATACATACATAACATATATCATACATAATACATACATACATACATACATACATACATACATACATACATACATACATACATACAACAAGTTTCAAAACAAGTTTCAGGATCGCGAATACGTGATGTGCATTATTATTTACAGGGAAAGGATTCTGGTTTTCACAATAATATATAATGTGTTTGTAGATTGCATTAAAGTGCAAGATGCCCGTATCTTATGGAAAACATTAAAATGTTTATTCCGATTCATATGAACCTGTGCTGTAAATAGTCTGTACGGATGTAAGTTGGGGAATTCATCTTAGCGTTTTTATTTATGAACAATTTATTTGTTACGCTGCTGAATTTTTTTTTCCCCACCTCGGACTCTGAAAGTGTGAGTTTGTGACTGTGTGGCTGTGTTTTCGAGGACATTGACACGGTAGTGAGTGATGCTCTTATATAATGCACGTGTGATCATCCCCTTATTAGTTGACCGTAAATGTGTCTTCTTTTTGCTCAGTAACTTCATTCTGTGGCGTCACAATACATGAGCATCGGTCAGACGGAGCAGATATGTATGGGAACTTCAATCAAGGCCGACTTTCCCAGTTGCCTCCCGGTCAACAATCAGCATCTACTTTGAAGCGTACGAATGACGTCACAGTACCAGACGTCATCGCATCGACGCACCTGTACAACCAGGATGTGAACGGTACGCCACCGAGCGGGATGTAAATTCGAAGCCCTCTACATGTAAAGAGACTCTAAGTTAATATTTTTTTTTTTTTTTTTTTTTTTTTTTTTTTTTTTTTTTTTTTTTTTTTTTTTTTTTTTTTTTTTTTTTTTTTTTTTTTTTTTTTCAACGTGATAATGTAAATAATAATAAATACGCAAGTTACCCAGTAAAAGGGACTCCATTTCTGAAGATATTTATATATATATTGTACATTTATATAATTATTTGTAATATTTAACGCACGTATGAATGTGCTCGATTTTCTATACAGTCACCTGGTATATGTATCTCAGTATTGTATCGTCCCCGACAGGAGCCAGCCTGTGCGCCGATCTGGACATCCCTGACACGAAGGCGTCCACTGCCTACCTGCTGTTCAGAGCAGACGAGACATCGTACTTCCATATTGCCGACCAGAAGCAAGTCTTCCTGAGGAGACCGTCCTTTACACCAGTAACATTCATCGAGCCAGATAAGCCTGTCTACAAACCCGGTCAGAAAGGTAAGAAGTTAATGCACTGATGTAGATACAGCTTAGATTAAACCGGTTGTGCACAGCACTGAAATGAACTATCGACCGTAACGTGGATATATGATCATTATGGGCTTATTCTTATTTTGGAGTATCAGATCTTACGCAATAACGAAACCGGTAAGTACAAAATTACAGTGCACGATGCATCTCAAAAGTAAATAATCTACCACCGTGTGGTGTTGCTACTTAATATTTATTGTTTGGCGCATGACTGCGGTGTGGGTGTCATTATTTGCCGCGTTTCCAAAATATATCGAGTATGTTCCCCGCTGAGTTATAAAATCCACAGTGTGTGGATATATGATCATTATGGGGCTTAACATATCTGACTCTAATAAACGGTGGGGTACACTGATATCCCTAGCCTCCACACAGCGCATGTAATAAACAAATGTTTTTTCACTGATACTCGAACTGATATGTAATAAAAAAAATTATTTTCAGTGCAATCCGTATCTCAGCCTATCATCAGATCTTACGCCAATAACGAACCGGTAAGTACAAAATTACAGTGCACGATGCATCTCAAAAGTAAATAATCTACCACCGTGTGGTGTTGCTACTTAATATTTATTGTTTGGCGCATGACTGCGGTGTGGGTGTCATTATTTGCCCGCGCTTCCAAAATATATCGAGTATGTTCCGCTGAGTTATAAAATTCACAGTGTGTCCGTGTGATGGGTACGGCTGGTCTCTTCATGTCTTCGCATGTATGTTTCTGTAGATAAATAAAGTGTGGATCAAGGACCCTTCTGGCACGCGGATTGCACAGTGGCTTGACGTCGCAACAGATGGAGGTGTGTATTGTATAAATGCCGAGCGACGTGAAACAACTGATCATTCGATAATTTATCGAAAATATAATGAGGAAAATTCGTAAATAAAACTGTCTGTGCGCTACGTATATAACTAGCAAAAATGCTAACAAAAATGTTGCTCGCAGTATCATAGAAGCTAATGCATTAGAGAAAATGTATTCGTCAGGCCAGGAGTAAATACTCCCAAAATGAAAATATTTACACATGATTACACTAATTGTTACTTGCTAAAATGCGCCTGTCTATTTTGTACAAAAGGCAAGTATACACATCTGCTGTTTCTGTTCCTGTTTATCTGCATTAGTCAAATTCCGGTGTCTTACGACATATTTGCCGGAAAGCGTTTTCTAATTCTTTTCCGAGAAATTCCAGCATGCGCGACGTATACATCCGCGTTTTATATCCGATTAAAATGTCGTGTGCTAATATTTTTGTAGAATGCTCGCCTTTCCGGCCAAAAAGATTCCCATCGAAACATTTGGATTTACAATTGTTCTGTGACCTAGTTATTTTGACGGCTATTTTTCTTGCGGTGCAGGTATCGCGAGCTTAGATTTGAATCTGTCGGAAGAACCACCGCTAGGCACGTGGGAGATTGTTGTTACTACAGAGGATGGAGTGACAAACAAACAATTCCAAGTATTAGAATACGGTGAGTAGTACGGCTGCGCTGGTACTAACGCGACGAATACAAAGTTGTTCTACGGTATTGGTTCCTGTGATAGGTGTAAACTGCTGCTTACTGTGGTGAAATTAATCGCTGTTGGGAATGTGTGGGGAACATGTTGCTGAAGGGCGTTCATTATTGACACAGTGCTGCCGAAGTATGAAGTGACGGTGGGGCCCTCTTCCAAAACCATCGCGAGAACACTGAGACGCGTGTCGGCTACCATCTGCGCAAGGTACGTTTAGCTAGGACACATGCAACCCTTTCCGCTTACATGACGGAAGCGTCTATTTGAAGTGATGTATTGGGTTACGGAGCGTTGCAGGCTGAGGGTTAACCTTCTTGAAATACACTATTTATAATTTACCAAGGCTGCGTATATAAGATTTAAACCATGTTTTTCAGAACCAGTCACATAGCGAACACAACACGTTCAGTAATATTTCCTTCTTTGCTGTCGACAACTATCTAAAGCTATTTTTATTGCCGCGTATATACACGCAACACACGCAACACACTTTGATCGTTTGATCGTGAATTTTGCTCTGTTCGAGCTCCTAAGTCAGATAAAACACGATAAATCCCCTATTTTCGATACATCAATAAAAACGCTGATGCCTGTGTGTTTTTTACACAGTATGCTTGCAATAACGTTAATGATTTGTGCTTGATGATGCACAGCTAATAGCACGTGCGTAATGTCGGCATGTAATTAATCGACGACGGATTAAACCCTTGCATGTGCGACCGCGAGGGGACGGTTGAAATTAGTTACATATATTCAATAAATATTTTTTAGGAGCGTTAATACAGTAACCGTTACCGCCACAGTAAAACAACACTAGCACACACGCGCACGCGCGCACACACAAAGACAAACGTTCTTTGTATTCCCCTATCTATGTAAGCAATGTACTGACAACCAGCGTAGCGGTAGCAATGAAAAGCAAGTAGAGGAGAAGAAAGGCGGACCATATAGAAGAAGGGAATAACAGCCGAGCAAAATCAGGATGCGTATACTAGCATAGCATAACATTGGAAGTCGGTATTAAGCATGTGTAGGTCGGTGTGCGTCGTTTGCGTAACGTGAGCGGTGTTTTCATGGAACAGCTCATTTTTATGTCACATCAGTGCCGTCCTCCTTTCATTCGATGCCGCTAATAGTTCACAATATTCATCTTTAATAATTTTTTCCTTGATTAAACTAATCATCAACTCGCTTTGTATTTTAGGTACACGTACGGTAAGCCGGTAGATGGCGATGCGGTTTTGTCCGTGTGTCTGGGTTGGACAAACGGTCCGAGTTCTTTTGGACAACAATTTGACCGTGCCCCGAAACCAACGCCGCCATCTTGCGTACATACGCGTCCGCTCGGTGTAAGTGTTCCCGCCCAATGTGAAAATGAATAAAAACTTTGCGAAAAAAAGTTAACATAGGCATACATTTGCTTAACCTCGGTTTGCATACCTCGACAACAAAGGACCGTGTGTTCATTAACGTTTTTAAAAAAAAAAATGACATGAGCACATCGTAAGGTGCTGACGTTCACAGGCGCTTGGAACGTCTCAATAAAAAAAGGTAAATAAACACAAAATGTATTTACTACCAAAGTATTAATGTTTCTCTACTCTATTTCGCCTATAATCACCTGTAAATGCCGGTCAAATGCTCATCTTCAACACACAAGTAAACCGCACGCACGCCCTGTGCACAAACAACATGAATAAGAGAGAACAAGATTAATGATTAAGCGAAATAGAGTAGAGAAACATTAAGACTTTGTTAGTAAATACATTTCGTGTTTATTTACCTTTTTTTATTGAGACGTTTCAATTGCCTGTGCTGCCGTTAGGAGGGTAGGACTCTCATCGCGCTGCTCGCTCTTCGTTCACAGTTGCAAGATGGATGCCGAGAATTCGATGTTGACATTCATCAATTAACCATTACTGGCCTCGACCTTCGCAGCTACCCATCGTGGTTTACTGCCGAGATGACGTTCAGTGCAAACGTCACCGAAGACGACACTGGTGAGCATCCACATTGGCATTCTATGTGCACGTACCTATATATACGTATATTATATATACATATTATAATATATTATATCTCTACGCGCTCCTGCTCGCGCGGGGCATTCGACGCCAGCGTTGCGCCATCTTTTGGCAAGATTAAACTAAAAAATTAGCAACAGAGCTTTATCGGAGTAGGCTACGACTTCACGCATTCTCTGGCATTATGCAATGGGTTCCGCACATTATGTTTTTCGTAGACGTGACCCTGTCTGGCGAGGAAACCGCAGCGGTCGTAGAAGACACTCTTAACCTGGAGATACGTGGAAGTGACTACTTTAGAGCTCCTATTCCTTACATAGCGGAGGTAAGTAGAACCGAGGAGGAACGAGAGGAAGCTAGGCGCATGAAGCAGTAGTGATCGCACGGTGTTGAATCTCAAACTAATTGCGAAGAACACACAGGTCACAGCTACCCCGCGCGCTCGTTTATTTTTCCCAGTCGACATAACAAGCGAAGAATTTAGCGCCTCTGGTTGGTTCTGATTGGTTCATCCTGCCTCCTGATTGGTTCAAAACAGCGGCGCTGTTTGCTTATTTAGCATATGTCATGTACTGTTTCTTATTATCCTCTGTGGCTTAGTGGATAGAACACCGGCCGTTACGTGTGAAAGGTCGTGGTGGATTCGAATCGCCGTTTGGTTTTTAATTATTTTTTTGTTTTCTGTATTTTTCTATCTTTATCATTTAACTATTGTTTTTCTAATTAACGGAAATATTTGCATGATTGATATTACAACAATTAATATATTTTTAATGAAAAATTTTTTTAAATAATTTATTTTCATTTATTAGTGTTAATTAAATTTAATTAGGGTTAGGGTTAGGGTTAGGGTTAGGATTAGGGTTAGGGTTAGGGTTAGGGTTAGGGTTAGGGTTATTATTGCAAATAATTGGCAATTATTCGCTATGTTAGCATAATGGAGCGTTTGTTCTCTTGTCAAAGGCAAAAGCAAATCGAAGCACCAATCAGTAGAGCGGCTAAATTCTTCGCATATGTTTGTCAGATGGGAAAAAAATACTCGCAACCCCGCGCATACACTGCTCACTGTAAAATTATTTACAGCTTTATTGTTTACGTGCCGAGCCTACATACGCACGCACGCACATACACGCGCCCCAACAGAACGCCCCGAAACGTACACGCACACGTACGCACACTGACATATCGCGCTTACATACGGATAGGAAACATACGCACGTGCGCATCTCGAGTGTACCTTCCCACACATTCACGTCCACACACATGCACGCACGCACACACGCATGCACGCAAGCACCCAGTGTAGAATGATGCTACCATACACACACGCACATGCTCGAAGATGCCTCCACACACATACACGTGCACGCACTCACATGACAGGCAGGAACAGATATTATCTAATATCAAGAATCTGGATTAACCTTAAAGTTGGATCTCGTTGTTTTGCAGGTCGTTGCGACGAAATTTGATGGCACACGTGCTGGCGGCTTGCTAATAGAATTAAGTGGCATTCAGCATCGCCAGGTTAGGGCAACAGGACCAGATGGAACTGCCAGGTTCATTGTCAACATTGACCAGGGAACAGAGGGTGTCAATCTCCAGGTTAGTGGGTTNTCAGGAATCTGGATTAACCTTAAAGTTGGATCTCGTTGTTTTGCAGGTCGTTGCGACGAAATTTGATGGCACACGTGCTGGCGGCTTGCTAATAGAACTAAGTGGCATCCAGCATCGCCAGGTTAGGACAACAGGACCAGATGGAACTGCCAGGTTCATTGTCAACATTGACCAGGGAACAGAGAGTGTCAACCTCCAGGTTAGTGGGTTATGCTTTCATATATGACGATATATAGTGTGATGAAAAGCTACACGAACATAATTGGTGAGGACTTTATGATATGAACGCTCACAATGATGATATATATATAATTATAGTATATATTTTATAAATTTTATGATACGTTATTCTATGAACAGCAAGTAATCGCGCATGTGGTTCGGAAACAAATATTTTTAACATAGAGATATTATGTTGGGGTAAATCATTTTATTAATACTATTAACAGGCCCGACCCGTCGATGACACCAAAGGAATCGAGGGAAATAAGCACATTCGGGGATGGTTCTCCACAACAAACCAGTACGTGCAGATTGAGGCGCCCTCTGGTGTGATGCGTTGTGGAGAGAAGGGTAGTGTCACAGTAACGTACACCGTCGATAAACCCGGAACGCAGCAATTCTACTACAAAGTAAGATCGCATACTGAATGGTTACATGAATTTAAGCGTACAGCAGCTTATAAGATATGTCGCTGCTAGCCTGCTATAATAATTGGACGAGTATTTCATCAATCAAAGAGGTGTGTGTGTGTGTGTGTGTGTGTGTGTGTGTGTGTGTGTGTGTGTGTGTGTGTGTGTGTGTGTGTGTGTGTGTGTGTGTGTGTGTGTGTGTGTGTGTGTGTGTGTGTGTGTGTGTGTGTAAAGGAACTCTAGATACTACATATTTATCATAAACAATATCCTCTCTCAGGTTATCGGCAAGAACAAGATCCTTAGTGTAGGGACGACTGAGCATACGGTCACGGCAGAACAGTTTGCGTCAGACCAAGCGCCTGGCGCCAGCAGCACCACGAACCTGTTTGGTACATTTTTATCATCGCGCAGTTGGGTTTCTCTTTTCCCTTCTCGTTGATTTTCATTCCGTAGAAATGCATAATTAAGAGCGACGAAGACAAATTATTAATTTCAAAACATTTATAACTAATAGATTTCAATTGTTATATAAATTATTACGAATGAGAAAGATTATTTTAGAAGCTATATATTATATTGGAGCGTGAACTCTACCGTGTGATCTTTACCCCTTCCCTCGTTCGTTTGGCAGCACTATTGAAGAAGGCACAACGCCAGCTTGGCGGCCGCCAGAAAGTTGTAAGCTTCGACCTGGAGTTGGACATCACTCACGAGATGGCGCCAAATGTTAAACTGCTTGTATTCCGCGTGGCAGCGGAGCGCGGCAGGGGTGCCGCGAAGGAGATTATCGCTGACAGCAGACAAATCGACATAGAGAAATGCCTGCGCAATAAGGTACGCGCAGACCTTCGACAAGCTTTACCTCGGCAAGCGTTAGTGTCCGTCGTACAGCCATGTGCTAATAGCAATGTTTAAATAATTGCTAGCCTGTTAATAAAAAATATCATTAAAGACATTATAATAATTGAATGAGACGGTGTGCGTGACGGCGAACGCGGTGCTAAAAATAAGGCTAGATCGCCCGCCGAGCGGCGCTGCCTGCTCGTCTGCATGGCAATGTCACACCAGTCTGTCACATAGAGCACGTCGTCATAACAATTATATACTGTTATTATTATTATTATTATTATTATTATTAATATTATTATTAATAGTAGTAGTAATATTGCTGTTGAATGTATTAATTAAATAATTGTATAATGCGTTATTGTCGGGAGCAGGTGTCGATCAGCTTTGATGAGCGAGAGCAGACACCGGGTTCAGGAGCGACGCTGCAGATACGAGCCAGCCCACGCTCCCTCTGTGCCGTCGGTGTCGTCGACAAGAGCGTCACGCTGCTGGCAGACAGCAACCCTATTACAGCGGCTTCGGTAAGACCTCCAGATAGGGCGACGTGTGTGTTTGAGTGCGTGCGTGCATGTTTGCAAACGCGCGTGCGTGCAATCATTGCGTGCGACGCGCCTGTCAATCCCTTAAACTTTCAACTCTAAAAGCAATTAAGCTGGAAATAGACAGAGATAATGTAATTGAAAAATGTAATACTAATGTAATACAAATCATGAACAGAACAGTTGGCGCGAGCAAAATCTAGCTGCGTAGATACGATTTGCGCTCGTGAACGTGTTAAATTATTTATATATATATATATATATATATATTATTGTATATACCTTCTACCAGGTGTTTGAAAAGCTCGGGAATAGCGTGCGAATAGATCAAACATTCTACAGTATCAGCGATTACTGTAGAAGTAAACACGGAGAGCCGGGACCGCCTTCAAGTAAGTTTATTTCGTGTTGCTATTATAGAATTCAATCTCTGTATTTGATCGGCCAAACATCTGCAGAATAGTGCAGTGCGGCGCAGTCGGTGATGATCGGCTCTTTATCCTTTGCCTTTGCGACGCCTTTCGTTTCACACCATCTCTCCTCCGTCTTCTCCTTCTCCAACGTCTTCTTTACTTCCTCCCACTCATATGCATCGTCTAACTACTTCACCTTCTCCCCGTTATCTGCAATATCCTCTCTTCTACCTCCTCCGCAGTTGCCCTTCCTTTACACTCTCTGCTTTCTTCCCCTGTTCCACCTCTGCCATCATCGAACCCCTCAACCTTCTTTATTTCAGCCATCCATAAAATCAAGAGCGTATTAAGAAGCTTAATACGCTCTTGATAAAATCAGAAGTAGATAATAGGGAAGTCCCTATAAAATCCATGATATTTCACATCTGCTCTTCATTTGCATGTTCTTTTTTTCAATTTCTGTAGCATCTGTCTATCGCCATCGTACACGAGGTGAAATGCGTCGCTGAAATTGTGATTTTCGCAAAGTTGATTCAATCTTCCTTTATACGTGTGCGCTGTTAGCGTGGGTCTAGAGCATGTCTTCTACCGATTATTACATGCGGACTTGTTATTCCAGCACCACCACCACCGCCTCCAATTCCCCTTGACGACGACAAGCGTTGTCGTTACGTGTGGGCTAACACTGAGTATGTCGACTCGAGACTGGCGTTCCAGGTTCGTGTTATAGGTTGCAGTTGTGTACATTTCGACTAACAGTTGCACCGGGCTACAAGTGAAATGGCGTCTTTAAACATTCGGCCGCATAATAACTGATGCACAGCCGAGGGTCAAAATCGGTATAAATTATCCGAATGTACTACCTATTATTTTAACCTAAGCTGATTGACACAGCTACATAAATCGTTTATGATTAGTATGGTAAATGTGTTTATTTAAATGCAAATATTTGAGGAATCGTTGATCTTATTCAATAATCGTGTTGGATTACACATAATGGTGTTTATTTGCTATCACTTGCATTACAGGATCTGGGATTGCTGGTCATGACAGACATGAACGTCGATGCAAGACCTTGCAAGTCTGAGGGGTTGGAGCATTTCCCAATATTTTTCCAAAGTATATATAATATTCCGAATTTTGTATGGGGTGGGGTTCTCATGAAAAATCATCGAAAACCTACGTTGCTTCCGCGGATTACTTCACAAGGTCGTATAGATTTGATGATATTATTCGAATATATATAGTTAATATATATAGTATAAATTATAATTTTTCCATCATAGGAGGAGGTCCTGGTCCATTTGCATTTGGCGGTGGTGGCGCAAACGTACTCGACGATGTCGATATCGAGCCCCAAGCAGCGCCATCTACGCCCGACGTTAGGACGTTCTTCCCAGAAACGTGGTTGTGGTCGCTGGAGAGAGTCGAGTACGTAATTACAAAGACAACCTTCTGACTACATCATGTGATTAGACAACCTTCTGACTACATCATGTGATTGTCATAGGGGTTCTATAACGGTGGACTAATTCTATAGCTAGCCGACATTTTACGTGTAGTATAGCGTCACAGATTATCTGCGAAAATGCCGCGAGCTTTAACTTATATAAACTCTTTCGTAGCAGTTAGTCGTATGCCATACGCTACTCGTGCTCATTATAATTATATATATAGTATATATTAACCACTAGACTAATATATAATAACATTATAACTATTTCTATGGGATTATCGTACAAAAGGAAATACTCGATATTGTAAATACCCCAGTAAAGTGCCGCTGCGTCTTCTCATCCATAGATGGAAATAGAACTAATTAATAGAAGAACTAGGTGAATATATTTGCTAATTCGCAAGCAAATACTGTCGTTGAAATGAGTTTAACGCGCGCCAGCTACATGGGAATTCCCTCCCATTTGCGATCCGTATGTTGTAACCCTAGCGTATTACCAACAGTGACAGCGGCGAACTGCTAGTTCGTACCGAGGTGCCGGACACGATCACGGACTGGGTTGGAGGCGGCTTCTGCACGAGTGAGGAGACAGGGCTCGGCATCTCCCCGCCGCTCGCCCTGCGCGCCTTCCAGCCGTTCTTCGTCTCCTACACGCTGCCCTACTCCGTCATTCGCGGGGAGAAGGTGCCCCTCATCGTGTCCGTCTTTAACTACCTCTCCGACTGTCTGGCGGTGAGTATAGTCTACTAGCCCGTAGAATAGTAGTCTAGTGCGCTTGATTATTCCATTATATGTACTGTATTGTCCGGGTCGTTTTAGGTGTTTGGGTAGATGGTATGAGCGACGGACGAAATATTGCAGTGTTTATAGGTTCGATATCGTGGTGTATATCGATGTAAGAGAGGGTATTAAAGTATCGTAGTATAGATGAATTATAATACGTAATATTTCAAGAATTAGCTATGCAATTATAGTTAGTTAACCTATCACATAATTAATAAACTCGCTGTAAATTTCTTTATTCAGATTTCTCTTACTCTCGATGAATCGATGGCCTTTGACATCATTGATGAGAATGAGGCTGAGATATGCGTCTGTGGAGGCCAATCTACAACACACAGGTGAGATACAAGAGAGATCTATTATCAATTTAGTATAACTTGAATATATTCCTCTCGAATATGCGCTAGGTAAGGACTTATTTCCTCAATTACTTGTGATATACACCTTTCACACACACACACACACACACACACACACACACACACACACACACACACACACACACACACACACACACACGACACGCGCAGCACGCACACGCACACGCACACGCACACACACACACACACACACACACACACACACACACACACACACACACACACACACACACACACACACACACACACATTCTTTTTCTCAACGTCATGGAAATATGATATAGCTCATCTTTCATATTAGTCTGCGTCACGTGAACGTGTTATTTGTGACGTGGTCGCCCTCGGCGTCTGGACATTCTTGCAGCCGGATTTTCGCGCGAGCGCGCCAACGCCGCCAGGGGCGGCCTCTAATACGGATACGCTGCCACCATTCCATCACCTTCAACGGGTTTACATATAAGGCAAGCAGCAAGCTCGCTGAGTTGAGCAGTTCTAGCGGATTGGACGACGGATTTGACTACCCATGTAGCTTGACAATTCTCTTGAAATGCTCTGTATAAGATTTTTGGCGACTCGGGGCGCCGTTGGTTTCCTGTAAAACACACTTTTAGTATTTTTTCACATCAATGTACATGAGTGTACATTAGTGTAGTGGCGGGCGATAGATGGCGTAACCGACGCATTGCGTGCGATTTCCCTCGACCTTTCTCTCGAGCCGGCTCGGCTTATAGTAGAAAAGCGAGACTTTGTAGTGTTTAACCCTGAGGTCAGCTGAAACGTAAACTCACCGTTCGACGAACGTAAACAGAAACGTATTGCGTATACACAGGGGCATGGGCATGAGCTTGTGAAAAGAGCAGCATGGTGATTGAGTTTAGGTTTTGCACTTTTATGACGTGCCTTGCTTCGATGCCACTCGACCATTCAAAATCGTCTCTTCTATTTTTCACAGTTACTTGAAATTGTTACCATAATCCATACATCACTATATGTTGAAAGCTCTCAATTAATCATGGTACATCGTAACAATAACTTATTATAATAGTCATATACTATTGTACTGGCAGTTTCTATTTATAATGCCCCCTACCCCCATCATTTCACAATTGAAATATATGCAATTCAATGTCATGTCACAAAATCAGGCAACCCATTTTAGCAAAGTACTATTGTTCAGTTAGTCATCTTAGCGGTTTCAATGTATACAGCATGACATTTTAGCTTGCATGCTGTTATTAGCTGCATTTCGAATGCCTATGCTAATAATTGGTACAATTCGTGGTCATACATTACTATATGGTATGTGTAGTCACGAGTACATTTAAAACTACGTGTTACCATAACAGATGCAAAAACTTTCCTAGGCTATACTAGACACAGGCACTTGAACGTTTCAATAAAATATAATGGTAACTAAATACGAAATATATTTACTACGAAATTGTTAATGTTTGTAGTATAGGCCTACTCTCTTTCAGAAGGTTGCGAGGTGACAGGCCTATATATAGACTAGGACTTGCTCCCACCTCGATTAGCCATTGAGTGACTAAGCTAAGCCGAGAGGTGCGACAGAGTGCCAGTCTATCGGCTATAGCGGCGCGGGCAGGCGGCGCACTGCTTTCAACTCCGTACGAGCCTCGCCATTGCAACGTTGGAAAAACGTTGCAGCGTTGGGGCGCGAAGAGCGCCGGTAGTGTTTTCCTGATTCTGACAGCCGTTTCCATTACTGGGCAAGGTTCGCGAATGTCAGAATTTCGACAGTCTTTCTGTGATTTCGCGTGACACAGCTCGGTTACGAACAGATTACTCGGTTACAGTTTTTATAACAAGTGAACACTGTTCACGTCCCAAATGTCTACCCTCTGTGTCCCCCACTAAATTGCGGACTGTTCGCTGCAGCTATGGATCCGTGCGCCCGCATTCATTACGCGCACGATTCATAGCTGCCAGCGCTGCATATCATGTCGTAGGACGTTCCCGCGTCGCGTGCGCCTTGCCGCGGAACTGCGGCGAAAGATCTGCGTCAGCGCTTCGGATCAAATCTCCTTTCGGCAACGCTTCTCTAGTATCCCGTCTCATCTGGTTGCAGATTCATGATTGAACCCCGAGAGCTAGGCGACGTCAACATCACCGTACACGCCATGACTGCTGACTCTGGTGGCGCCATCTGTCGAGCCGGTGCCGTCATGAGCACAGTCACAGGCGTCCGTGATGCGATCACGCAGCCACTGCTGGTGGAGGCGGAGGGCGTAGAGAAATCCTACTCTATTAACTGGTTCGTCTGTCCAGAAGACGGGGAACCCTTCTCTGACACCATGGATCTCGTGTTGCCCTCCGAAAGCCTAGTACCAGGTAATTAACTACATAGTGATGGATATGTGTCAAAAATACAATGTTACTTGTTTAGCGCACCTCGAACATAAGAAGATGTTTTGTAGATATCAGCGTCGATCATTGCCATCAAAAATCGAACCAAAACTGTAGCTAATGATTTTAGGATGGCTGTTACTGTTTTGTAAACATACTTCAAATGAGAATGATATTCTCCCACCGAGACTATCTGTAGTAGCAACGCCCATACATAATTATTTTCGGGGAATTCGCTACGAAATCCTAGGTTCCTTCAACTCCCCGTATTTTTCTTTTATATCGTCACATTTCAACATTCTCCTTTGCCTATGATACAAAGCCTTACAAGCTATTACAAGCTATTCATAATTTGTTAGACATTTAAAATTTTGCGTTCTTTTGTAAAAACATATTGCACAGATGTGCGAATAACATGATTATAATTGTTCGCTGCAGATTCTGGTCGCGCGAGGGTATCCGTTATCGGTGACGTCATGGGAGCTCCCTTAGAGAATCTTGACGAACTCCTGACGATGCCGCACGGATGCGGGGAGCAGAACATGATAACGTTCGCTCCTGACATCTACATCATGGAATATCTGACGGCCACCGATCAGGTGACGCCCGAAATCGAGGACAAAGCTGTGGGATACATGAAGTCTGGTAAGCAATGATGTGGAAGCATGCTGTTACTTGGAAATACCAGCATGGCGATTTCTTCAGGTTAAAAACTGTAATCCACTACGTTTTTATGCCCCTCCTTCTCTCTCTCTCTCTCTTCTCTCTCTCTCTCTCTCTTCTCTCTCTCTCTCTCTCTCTCTCTCTCTTTATCTTTTCCGTTTGTCCATAATGCAGATCACCAGAGGAACTGACGTTTAAACACACAGACGTCCCCTATAGTGCGTACATACATTTGTGTTTCTCCTGCAGACCACCAGAGGGAACTGACGTTTAAGTGCACGACTCAGCGTATAGTGCGTACATATAATTGTGTTTCTCCTGCAGACCACCAGAGGGAGCTGACGTTTAGTGCACCACCCACCGAACTCAGCGTATAGTGCAACTGCATGCAGCGCCCCCTTCCCACACTCAGTAGAATTGAGCCAGAGCGAGAGCGCCATCTGTCGTGGAGTTGCGTATAGTGCGTACATATAATTGTGTTTCTCCTGCAGGCTACCAGAGGAGCTGACGTATAAGCACACGGACGGCGCTATAGCGCGTTCGGTAACCGCGACGAGGAGGGCAGCATGTGGTTGACAGCGTTCGTCGTGCGCTGCTTTGCGCAGGCGCAGCCATTCATCTATGTCGACCCGAATGAGATCGACATGAGTGCGCGCTGGATCATACAACAGCAGACGAAGGATGGATGCTTCCCTGTGATCGGCACGCTTCACCACAGCGACATGAACGTACGCACCCCTGTGCATCAATACGAAGGCCTTCCAGCATGAATACATGAGCGAAACGTGTCGATAGTCTCTGTAAAGACTAATAAACTGGGGAGGCCCAAATGTTTATGGGCCCTATACACGGCAGCTGGGCAGGAAGAGAAATGTGTGGTTGCTATGACGGTCACTCGGAGAAGAATAAGAAAGCCTTGGTGGCAACGTGCCCCATCTAGGGAAATGAAGAACTTGCAAATCTTAATGGGGGCGTGTTTTTGACGGGGAAACATTTGAGGTGTAACCTGGCATAGAATGTGCGGTTTAAAGAAGCCTACACCTGTAATATGGAGGAAGGGAGCCCTGTGCTTTGATTGTGAATTTTGGAATTATTAAATGTAACATAATGAACACCTGGCATAAAGTAACTACTACCAATTTATTTAGCGCACATTTATAATTACATCTGGCATTAAGATGTGTTGATTTCCTTATGCGCGTATATGTTATAACGTTATACCTATGCTCTTGCGTGTATCGTACTACATGTATGGGTCGTGTGTTCACAGGGAGGCGTTGGCAACGCGAAAACAAAGCGACGCTAACAGCCTATGTCGTGACGTCTTGATTGAGCCAACGTGGCCGACGCAGGGCGCGCCCATCTCGGCTGCTTCTCCTGCATCGAGAGTGAAACCTTCGAGGACGCTTACACCCACGGCGCTGTTGCTTATGCGTACGCCCGCCACGGCGACATGCCAAAACTCAGGAATACTTTGATAGGTAATCGCTATGCAACTATTCAGCCGCACCCTGGTCAGCACTCGTCCATGGATCCATTCTCAGTTCCCATGTAATTAATATGTGCCCTTTCCCTGTTCCCCGCGGCCCGGTTTACTTTGATTCCTATTCACGAAAATATTATTTTGGTATTTTCTAGTTCCAATAATTAAAAATGGTCCAATTCCGCGTCCCTAAAAAACCGCCCCTCTAAATTAAACATGGTATGTGCGTGCTTACCTATTCGATCCAACATGTTCGTTTCAACCGGTTTGAGTTTTATTAGCCGCGAGCAAACGAGAAAAGCAAATAAAGTAGGTAAGCATGTTGCGTTACCAACTTGCTACGACGAGGCCTCTAAAGACACATTAGGCCATACGGAAAATGTTTGAAACCCTTATGTCGTGTAAGGCGTGACTCATGGCGCAATACTTTACAATGCCATAGTCGAATTTGCGATTTGCGACCATGCAGTAACGCCAGCTATTTCAATAGGTTGCTGAAGATGGCTGTACGAAACGAGACCGCCACAAGACGCACTGGGAAGGCTGTACCAGAGACAGTGGACGTGACGTAAGTATTGTCGCAAGTTATAATCATTCCCAATCACGGTCGCGACAGTTCGACATCACGGTCGTAGTGCTATGTTCGTACTCACGTGATCTACATACTAAATCGCTCTGCGCGTGATCTGTCCGTCGCGGATCTGTCGATCCGATCGACACGCGCGGAGTCAGTGTTAGCTAGTCTGCTCGCTTGTCCGCGTAATTTGTCGTGCTCGTAAATAACTGTCACGCGAAGATCCCTTAATCGCGCAGCCGTATTTAATAAGCGTCGGATGGAATTTGCAAGGTCACGCCGTGTGATGCCCGTCGGCCTCGAAGTTGTTAATATGTCGAAGAATGCATCCCGCACAAGGTGTGACCGCCTGATCGCAGCTTGTTCCGATATATATGAAGATATTGCTTTAATAAAGCTAGGCAGCTACTACCATTACCACCACTACAACTACTACTACTATATACTACTACTATACTACTACTACTACTTCTACTACTATACTATACTACTACTAACTAACTACTACCAACCACACTACTTACTACTACTCTATACACTTCATTACCTTACCACTACTACACTACTACTACTACCATTACTACTATACCCTACTTACTACTATACTACTACTACTACTACTACTACTACTACTATACTACTACTATACTACTACTTACTACTATACTTACTACTACTACTACTACTACTACTACCATTTACTACTACTACTAACGTACTACCTACTACTACTACTACTGCCACTACTACTTATACTACTTACTACTACTACTACTACTACTACTACTACTACTACTACCTACAGTACTACAACTATCTGCTGCTGCCTGCTGCTTGCTGCTGCGCCATCGCCGCCGCCGCAACCACCACAATTACAGAATATCACAATCACAGTTCACAAATTCAGAATCACATTTGAAATGTTCTCCCCTCGCTGTGGTGTAGTTGCCATGGACCGGCAAGCCGAGAAAGAAGCGATAAACACTGAGAATGACAGCATACGCTCTGCTGACGCTGATGCAGATGGAAAATGAGGACACAACGCTGCCTCTCCATCCACGTCAGGTGGATAACGCAGCAGCAAAACTCTCGGGTGCTTCTCGTCACCACCAGGTGCACAACTTGTATAATTCTGATGCAGTCTCCTATCGCAGCCAGTTTAGAATTATCTCTGAGGCTGGAATCGTCGAAGAACTCGTAAGAACATCCGTGATCGGGAGAGCATAATATAAAGCTTTCTATGTTATGCACCCCTACAATGCATGTTTACCCCTACGAATCTTCCTCCCCTTAACTTTTGCCGAAAATGCAGAAGACGTATTTCCTGTGTGTGAGTAAGGCTTGTGTGTGATGAAAAGTACCTTAGCTCAATCAGGTTTAAATATTTTCTATGCAGGGAACTGTCGTCGCACTGCAGGCTCTCTCCAAGTTTGCCATGTGTTCTTCGGTTCTCAAACCAGCAGCGACATCGCGATCAGCGGTGACGACGTTAACGCTGCGTGAGCGTGTCTAGCATCAACAGCCTAGTCCAGCAGCTGGTCGACGTGCCCTCGGTACCAGCAAGCTCGAGGTCACGGTGACGGGGTCACGATGCGTCATCATCAGGTAAGCGTTGGGCCGCACCATCCGCTCACAGGTGGCAGCACGGTATGCAGCGTAGTGAATGCGTTGGGTCGCGTTAATGAATGAAAAGATAACGCATATAGAACCCTCCAGATAACGCGAAGAACTTTCCAGAATTATTGAGAATTACAGTTTATTTCGTTCTGAAGCCCGATCGCAATGAGTGCAGTGAACCAACGAGAGCTACAAGTTATGAGCTTATGGCAAGCATTCTATACTGACTCGGAATTCCAGCGCATGCAGATATCATGTCTTACTATAGTTCTTGATTTAGGGCAACGTGTTCTACAACCTGTTCGAAGAGAAGAGAAGGCTTCCTGTATTTTCAGCCAGTGCTGATGTCACGACACTAACTGTAAGACTGTGAGATAACAGCCTGTGGCACGTAAGTATTACGTAATTTACCCAAACGTGCTCCTGCTGTGTATTGTGCTTATTAAGATCCAGTGGGGTAACCAGGATTTTTTAACAGGGGGGGGGGCAAAAACAGCGAACTGCGCAAAATAGTGGATGACTTAATATTTTAATGGTTCCTCCGCTTCCCTCTCCACACCCTATGCTCCCCCACCTCTCAGCTCTGCAATCTTTGTTTTGGGCGCCATGTTAACAGGGTACATTTGTGTTCGTTTTTCTCTGTCCCTAGATATATAGCTGTTCAGTGGCAGATCCAGCATTACAAGTGGGGGACACTTTCAAAAATTTCTGAGGGAGGACCCCAGTACCCCCCGCCTGTGTTTCAACCCCCCCAGATCGTAGGAGATGGTATTTGAGGCACTTTTGAGTACATATACAGCCTTCATTCTGACTACGACAATTCTCCTTTTAGTAGAACAATTCTTTTATTTTTTATTTTTTTTAACTTTCTCATCAACAGGGGCCATGGCCCCTCTTTGCCCCCCCTAACTACGCCACTGTTAAGACCTCGTGTGATATTAATATCATCAAGAGCTAATAATAAAGAGGTATTATTAGCCCTTGATAACATATGTGCATTCGAAGCTTTTCATTTATATATCTGGTCTTGTAGGTTTACTGGTGAGGAACCATCAAATATGGCTATAATCAGTGTAAATATGGTCACCGGATATTCACCAGTAAAGGCGTCATTGCGGGAGGTAATGTAATTCTCTACCTATCTATATGTATTATTATCTTTTAAATCACTCGGCAGTCAAATATAGCAACCAGCACGCGTATTTATTGTGGCAATCTAGCTCGTCCCGCAGTTGTCGTCTGGCTTTGTTCTTCAATTTTCTTCAATGCGCCATGCTATAGTGATTAAACAGTTACGGAGGACGTTTACGGAATGCTATGTTCATATCTGCATCGTGCTCGTGATAAACATCTAGGACGAGGAAGTTATAAGTTGTAGCGCGTGGCTTTTCCACACACACGCTACTTTGAGTGCTTTAACAAGCCTCGGTGTGATAGAAGTAGATGGTAGCTAATTCTCACAGCGTGTCAAACGAGTTGAGGTTTTCTTCGCGGTTTTAAGGAATACGTTTGCGTTTATAAGCATTAGATGAGTTTACTTTGGGGTTTTCCTGCAGCTTATTGGCAAGCCAAGTAAAGGTTCCCAATTGAAGCGGTTCGATATTGAAGGCAAGACTGTTGATATCTACGTGAATAAGGTGAGTGAGCACATACTTATGATTAACTGCCAACACACCCTTACCAGAATTAACTGCAAACCATTTTAGCTCAAATACATTCCTAGATAATTTAGAATTGTTGAAAATAGTAGTGGTCAGGCTATGGTAGCGTTGCATGAATATAGGAATGAATATGACAATGAATAGCTACGAATATGAATTTATTTTGTGTAAATAGTTCGAACCAGGCCAGCAGGTGTGTGTGATCTTTCAACTGGAGAAATACCTGGACGTGGAAAACGTGAAGCCTGCCGCTGTAAAGGTGTACGACTACTACGAGACAGGTACGTGCACTAGGTGGCGCCAGTGCAGTGATGCGTTCGGTTTTGCCTCGTTTATGTATTGAGCTCATCGTGTCCCATGTTATTTACCGCATATAAAAATCCACCACGTAAGCTCATTGTATTCATTAATCTCTACAGAAACAGGCAGCTTCGACTCTTATACAGCATAGATGAATGCAAGTAAGCAGCTAATGGCAGCGACCAGAGGGATATGGAAATCGATATCATTATATCACCAATCGAAAAGCATCACTGTCATCATATTAATTACCATCGATGACAAAGACGTTATCGTTGGCTGTGTTAAAAGTATGCGTCACAGCTATATATCTATTGAGGTTTGCGGGACGTTTTTAAACATAAAATTATGGGAAAAAAAGAGAGCAGGTATGAAATTTGGCTAGTCATGATAGTGATACCGTAAGCATATTCAATAGTTCATGCATGGCATGAGCAATATTTAAATATTGGACTTCGTGAAAATCGTCTTTCCTCCGTGTGATTATCCATATTATTTGGTCAATAAATTATTTAAGGCAATGATTGTTTCATTATTTTCTATTGTTGGTCTTCTTATACATATAGCAATTTTTTCACGTTAAAAACAGAAAAATATCCAATGACAGAAGAACCTATACAGTTATTTGATTTGATAAAATTGGATTATATAACAATCGTTTGCTATATATTCAAATTGATATAAGCTAGGTTAGTAGCTGTTCAAGTAGGCGAAGGTGGTATAAGTTTGTATGTGTCAGTATGCTGTACGGGTATTATATTTAACTTCCAAGACTTCTGCATTTACTTGCATATATATATATATATATATATTATATATCTAGAACGACCAAGACAGTTATATTTGATGTACTTAAATACTTAAGATTCGGTAACTTAGAGACTTCTATAGATTATTACGACACGAACTATAACCGTTCTCATCCAATATCAGAGGCCTCGCCGTAAAACAGCTCATCATTCGCAGAGAAACCAGAGATCATAGATATACACATACATAACATTATACGTAATATACTTATACGTATATAATATATAATAGCATATTATATATTTATATGATTATTTTTAATTCTTATTTTTTTAACTTGTGAAAGAAGTATGTTAGATAATGGGCACATCATTAAATAATACACAATATAGGCACGTACACGTCTGTAAGTTATAATAATTATCGATCATTTTTTATTTTTAAATTTGAATTAGGCCTACGTCTTATACAGACGAAATGACATCATTTTATATATATATATATATATCAAAATTGATAGGCTCTTAAACAAAAAATTTACACGTGTTTTGTTATGTTGTTTGCTAACCCGTAGAGATTTAGCAATTATCTCACAGTTTCTGTATCAATGTCTGAATAACTGAATTTCAATCCTTGTTTTTTTGTAATCAAAGTGTTCTCGCTTAACAACATGCTATATAAATAAACAGCAACATGACATTGTGAACATTGGTATACAGACAGTTGAAATGAATACGCATCGCAATTCTAGATTCGGTGTGCCTGGAAGTGTGGCTATTGTTAGTAAAATACATGCCTTTTCCCATCTTACATGACAGGCTGTGCCCGTTTTTTTGTCCATCGCAATATAATTAATAATTTTACGCCTCATGTGCTTACTAATATATATATTAGCATACAATATTACGCGTAGTCTTAAACTCACGGTTGATAAAATATTCAAAATATACACAATATCGCTATGTACACATTGCACTAGGAATGATACGTCAAAAATTGCACTAGATGATATAGGAACGGGTGGGCGTGTGCGGGAATCAATCAGAGTAACGAAGCTAGACAACTTATTCATTTATGTGAATTTATGCTTTCAGTTTTTCACGCCAGCCAGTTATGTTTAGCGCGGTGCTCTGACCTACATGCCGCCCCGCCCCTTCTCATCGCACGCGCGCGTTCTCTCTCTCTCTCTCTCTCTCTCTCTCTCTCTCTCTCTCTCTCTTTCTCTCCGTATTCCCCTTCTCTGTTCTCGCTCGTGCGCGCGCGCACACGCACACACACACACACACACACACACACACACACACACACAACAACAACACACACACCACATACATACACCCCCCCCCCACACACACACACACACACACACACACACACACACACACACACACGTTGGCCCAGGCGCTTCCTTTCGCTTAGCGCGCTCTCTCTATCTATCTATTCATCTTGGCCCAGGCGCTCCTTTCGCTTAGCGCGCTCTCTCTATCTATCTATTCATCTCTATCCTTCCTCTCCCCCTCTCCCTCTCCTTGTTTCTTTCCTTTTCTTCCCGCATGACGTTTTCGCCCTCTGTATATACCTTCATTACCGATTGTGATATGTACATATATACTGCTGGGGGAGGGTATAGAAAAGAGCGCGAAACCCATGCGTGAAACTTGAAAAATTACATAAACCTTATACAGATATAATATTACTCCTGCGTATTCCGTGGCTATACGCATAGTTATACCAAAATGACAACAACATTATAGTAGTGATGACAATTAGAGAAATATATACCGAACAAACGTGAAACGTTTTTACTCACTGACAAATAAATTGATGGACTTTTTATACGTCATTAACGTAAATCAACACGACAAAGATACGCCAGTATTTCTACACGGTCCCTTTTACGCAGATACTGTCGTACGTAATGCCTGAGCGTCCCGACCGCGCCGCATCAGTGCGTGTCCTGACTGACGTACGTGCGCCACATGAGTGGTGGCGCCAAGCATCTCTCTGCGGGCAGTCTCCCGCTCCCGCCCTGCCGCCACCTCCTCTCATTGATCCGACGTGAAATACGACGTTTGCATCGAGTAGAGTTTTGGATTCTCCGAGGAGTACGTCTTCTAATCCGTCGAGACTGTTGTCCATAGCCATTGACGAATCGACACTGTTCATGTCGTCGGCGTACATGTTGTTGTTACTGAACATCCCAGCTGGCGGGAAGCAAAACAATGGTTC